CGTCCGTATTCGCGCTTCAACAGAGGCTACCACTACATACTTACGGTTATCGATGTGCTGAGCAAGTACGCGTGGGCCATACCGCTTAAGAGTAAGAGTGGATGCGAAAAGTTTTGCAGGAATATTTCGGGATAACAAACAATATCCAAACATTTTGCAAACTGACCGTGGAAAGGAATTCTACAATATAGATGTACAAACACTGATAAAGAAGCATGACATTAATCATTATTCCACATATTCTGTTATGAAGGCTTCAATTGTAGAACGATTCAACCGTACGTTGAAGAACGACATGTGGAAACACCTTACACTTACCGGAACCTACAAATGGATCGACACATTACCGCGTCTTCTTATGGAGTACAACGCGAGAAATTATCGAACTATTGGTATGCAACCTATCGATGTTACTCCAGCAATCGCCGAGAAGCTCTTAACCACGGTGTACAGCAATGTCAAGATCGCAGGGCCAGCACGATTCAAAGTAGGTGATTCGGTACGTGTAAGCAAATTTAAAACAGTATTTGATAAAGGATATATGCCAAATTGGACGACCGAAGTATTTAAAATCATTAAAATACAAACGACCTAACCTGTGACGTATCTGCTTGAGGATTCACGCGGACAATCTGTTGCTGGAGGATTCTACGAATACGAACTGCATTGCGTTGCACATCCAGACGTTTATCTCGTGGAAAAAGTATTACGGAAGAAAGGTGACAAGGTTTATGTGAAGTGGCTAGGATTAGACAAGTCGTACAACTCTTGGATAAATAAAACTAATGTTTTGTAAACACACTATATACGGAATGTATATAAATTACAACACATATACATAATTCTTGTTATTACACATATTAAATGACAATATATACATATAATATACATATAATCTATATTATACACAGTTTTCTCGTGGTATTTTATAATGTCCCCATGGCAATGTTCCAGTAGAATCGAGTATGGTATACCGCTTATTGTCATACGGACTTAGAGCAAGTTTTGATTCGGACACAGTATATACTTCATGTAACTTTGATCGTATACACGACTGTCGGCATACCTTTTCACTTTCATTGTTCAAACACTGCTTGTAATCGTCGAACGGTAATGTTCGCGCTACGACGCTACTCTTTACACCTTTGGCCTTTTTTGTGTCTCTCTTTCCATCCACTTTCAATGCGTACATTTTTGCTCTAAGTCCGATGAATTCAGTCATTATCATTCCATTATTTTCATTCTTCATCAATCCTTTTTGTTGACGCGCGGCATACCATACACGTTATCAGCCGGATAATCATTTGTATCGAATCTTACAATATCACGTTTCATGATATTGTACACATCCTCGCATTCGATGAAATACATAAGACTGTCTGTGTCGGTGTACATAATTTTGCATTTCTCTCGATACAACGGTGCCATGTCATCGTGGTGAAATTCATACACACACGTTTTGGATATGTCTAATATACACATTCCTACGTATATCGGTTTGTTAAATTTCACTTTGAGTTTACGCAATTCAACTGCAATAAAATTTTCAGAAAAGACGATTTGACTATGACAATTTGGTCGAGAGATCAATGCTTCTGCACCATATTTTCCATCCCACTGTGTTAAAAGTTTTATATTTACATGATTACGCACATTTTCCATAGTTTTGCCAAAAACTGCATTATTTATTACTTTGTACAAATTTTTCTCAAAGTCGTTGGTAGAAAGTGTTCGAAATTGTGTATTCAATTCGATATAGCTCCGGAGCCATTGAGATTGCGCAAATTGTAGTACGCGATGAATCTTCGTAATACGAAGACCGTGTTCGCACACATTGTTGTAGATCGCGATAATGAATGATATAACACGTTTTGTTATGCAATGTTGCAAGCAGCTTCTCCTGTCGTTTGCCAAGCGGCTTATCGCGCGTCGGGCAGAACGGTAGGTCAGTGTGCGCGTCGTGCAATTCGCGAGGATACTCGAGGTCGACTTCAAGGATGTAACCGATATCTGAGGTTGATGCCGTAGACATCACGTCGACACTCCAGACGTTGTCTACCCATTAGAATGCGGTATACGGTAATGGCTGACACATTGCCCAGCCGTACAAGTTATTTATATCAAAGTACATGAGATACGACGTTGGTTTTAATGAATCCTACGTCTGCATGTACTTGTTATTAGCGTGCGCGTATCTTGCGCTGCACTGGCAAAGACCACCGCGTATACCGCGTTCGATAAACATAATCATATCAACATCTGTGAGCAGGTCGAACGTTATGCCTGTGTGTTTTAGCATAGCGTCCCACGTGTAACCGGGTAAAGTATAATAATGCGCGGGATCTAATCCGTAACTTTGGATACAACTTTCTCGAAAATTCTCAAATATATCTGCCAATAATAAAACATCAGTTTTTAAATATAAATCGCTGTATTCACCTAACGTACGTATCGAGAATCGTTGCCAGATGTTTACAGCGTGTGCATATTCACTCTCAGATATTGTTTCACCGGTCAGAGAACTGAAAAATGACTCGCGCAGTGGTAATCGCTGCTCTTGCAACTTGTCGACACAGTCTACGTAGTCGTATGGAAAAACACCTTTACGCGCTAATAATTCAAAATTTTCGATGGATAGATTTCTGAATTCTGATTGTAATATTTTTAACTTGTCTTTATGAAGAAACGATGCTAATTTTTCGAGATTACCACTGAGAAATTTGTATGAATCGATGAATCTCAACTCTATATTGTAACTCTTTGGAGTACTTTTTTCCGGTTGCGTGACGTTCTTGGAAAAAAATATGTATCTCTCCTTGTTAATAGGGAGAACAGTAACTTTTCCTTCAAATGCAGTCGCAACTTCTTTAATAATAAAATGTGCATCGTAACCGGATAAATTGTGAAAAATTACTGGAATACAATGCGAATCTTTATAATTTAAGTTGCAGTTGGAGTGCGCGGGACCTCTGTATCGACGGTCAGATGACAATGATCGCGAACTCTTGTATCATCCGCTGCGAATGGTTTTTCACACACGTGACAGTGACTCGCATTACGATAAGCTGACTTTTGTTCTTCTGTTAACGATTCCATGGACACATTGGTACATAAAATAGTTTTTACCCGATGAGTCAATTCCTTGAGTTCTTCAACAAACCATGTGATGCAATTTTCGCCGTGACGATACCGATAAGCAGAGAAAGTGTCGTTGTATGAGCAGCAGACGTAATAGCCTATGCTGAACGCCTTGTGATGTTGGTACGTATATAACGTTTGCTGCGTCTTTCCATCAATTTTGTGTAATACCCTCTTAAGGTCGGCGTATACTACAAATGGGAGACGTTCCTTTTTGCTATGATTACTGAAACTGAGCCATTTGTTGTCCTCCGCTGGTAACCGAATCGCGCAGTTATTCATTTTTTCGCAATCTACGGTGTGGACACTCAACTTATCCAGAGAATGGAAATAGTGTAAACATCTGCAAGTATATAATACAATAATTTCTTATTATCTCTTACGTACACACATATATACATGTAATGCAAGCATACCGTTCGCACATATATTTTTTTCCATTATGCTTATTTAATTGTGTGCTCACGAGTCGAGGCAGATTTTTTATACACGCAAAGTGATTAACGTCTCGTGAATCCGAAACGTAGAGCAAGTTTACGTGCTTCTCTCTCTTTTGCTCTGTGAGACGTATTGGGAGAATGACAAGTTAGTTTTTCGGTTTGTTCTTCTTTTTTCTCTTCAGTTCTATGTTGTACAGGTTGACAGAGATGTCGTTAAGCCGTTCAAATTTTGATATTTGGTTTACACTCATTGGAAACTTAATGTCTTGAAGATTTAGTACTGTTGTATAGTGAGGACGATAATATGCGGTGTCCATTTTCTTCGGCCGGATAAAGAGCAGCGACTACCGACCATGCAAAGCATGCATTATCCTCGGGTAGCACGTTAATCACCGCTCTCTTAAACTTAACTTGGCGGCAAATTTATATGACATCCTGCACGCAATGGATTGTACTTGATCACATTTACAATTAAATTGAATATACGTAACAAAACCCACCCACTATCACGTTCCTGAAATTCATTTAAAGACGCTAACGTGGGTTCAATGACGTATCGCTCGTACCACTCGTCTAAATTGGTTGTACAAAAGAGTTCTGAATTTCTTGTTGTTATATTTTTATTGGCTCGTTTATCTCCCAATATAAATTCACCATTGAACACTGTATTGATTTTCAGACTATTGTGTTTCTCAATGGCATTTTGTTTCACTTTTCACTTTTTCCAGCACTGTGCTTTTCGCGTGTTCGAGAAAATGGCGAGGTTCGATATGATTTTCATTAATGATAGCACCTGTCATTACCCTACTTTCAAAAGCGGTGTCTATCTCTCGCCATGTAAGTCCATGTCCGGCGCCAATGTATACAAATTGTCTGCGCAGTGAATTTTTCAAACTTTCAAGTCGAGCAATTCTAGCAACAAGCGATTGTCTAATTCCTACAGACAGTCGCGGACGCTTGTTCCGACTATGTTCTTCCAATAATTCNAGACATTTGTCACATTGCTGCTCCCACGCGACAACTTCTTCTCGCGAATTCAAACGTGCCGATTGCTCCAATACATTACGCTCTAACTGTGCAAGTGTAGTTTCCATTTCGTCACTCTTACAACACACTGATTGATCATTCACTCTGATGTTCTGATGAAATACTGATTTCATGTAACGGTTTCGTCTTTTTATAGTGTATTTTTTTATTGATGTTGCATTTTGTTAATGCCAGATTTTTTGCAAAAATTTAAGAAAAATGAATCGTAATAAAAAGGAACTAAAATGTTTGCGAAACATAATTTTAAATACGTGATCAAATCGATGAAAACTGATACTCGACAAAAAAATCTACTGTTTGCGTACTTTACAAGCTATACATATAGCAATTTCATAATTGTTTTTATTTAATACGCAGTTAGCAATTTTGCTGTAATCAGCAAGTTTTATCTCATAAAATAGGATTATGTTACTTCAATACGTGATCAAATCGATGACATCTGATATCCAAACATGCCTACTTTGCGGAAAAAATTGTTCTCTCATATAAAATAAACTTGTTACTTCGATATGTAACCACTACAAAAATAAACGTGTTTCTGAGTCATAAATTTTTATGTCATCATTTTTTCTAATATAAAACGGTAAGGTTAGGCGGTATTTAAGAAGACGGATTATGTTACTTCAATACGTGATCAAATCGATGATATCTGATATCCAAACATGCCTACTTTGCGGAAAAAATTATTCTCTCATATAAAATAAACTTGTTACTTCGATATGTAACTATTGCAAAAATGAGCGTGTTTTTGAGTCATAAATTTTTATCATCATCATTTTTTTTAATATAAAATGGTGAGGTTAGGCGGTATTTAAAAAGGCTCTTACGTAACATCCCATTATTCGACTTTTAACCGTGGTTCAAGAAGACACAATGTATACTAACAGAAAGTGCAACAGCGAGATGCACGCAACAAGTAAGTAAACTGTCGCATTACTTGACTTTGTTTTTTGACACATACGTCATTTACTTGTGTTTTTTACAGTGTGCAAACTGCATCTTCACCACATCAGGCAACTCGCATTTTGGGAAGACGATAAGCACTAACGTCAACAGGGTACAAACATATTGAAATTGGAATAAGTGTTGGCCCAATTTCATATGTGGAGATGGTTATCAGAGATAATCATGGAAATTCAATGCTTCTACCATTTTCTACATGGCAAACGAT